CCCGGAGCCTCGCTGCCTCCAGCCCTCGCTTTCCCCCGTCCCCCCCCCCTGGTCCAGCTGCAGCTGCTGCTGCCAGGGGGCCAGTGGAGGGGCCAGGGGCCCCAGGGCCCCCCAGCACCTTCTAGAGAGCAGTGGTTGGTCCTCAGGTGGTGACAGCTCTGGGGGGTGAGATTGTGCTTATCTAGGGGGTCTCAGCCTTTTTAATCGGCGGCAGGAAAAGCGTGGGGGCTTTGCTGGGAGATGGTGTCACCTGCAGCCAGCCTCTTGAAGGCATTGGGCTCGTGCCTCCTCCGGATAGTTCCTCCCTTTCCGATGCTCCACATCTCCTCGGGAAGTCCATCCCATGGCATCAGCACGGGGAGGGCTCCCAGGAGACCCCAAACGTCCTCTCTCCCATCCCCGCTTGGGGCCTCCATCCCGCCCAGCACCCGTACCTTGACAGAGAAGGCGAGCGCCACGAAGCCGAGGCAGCAGAGGTTCATGTAGATGGTGTTGAAGATGGACCAGAGGAGGTGGTCGCGGGGCGGCGAGGAGCCGGGGACGGCGGGGGACGGGTCCCGCCTGTGGGAAGGGGCGGGGGGAAAAAAAAAGGTAAGATGGGTCCATGGCCACGGAGAGGGGCACCCCACAGCGCTCCGGCTCCACCAGCTCCGCCCAGCCCGGGGAGCGGGGCAGCACGGCCCCTTTATATAGCCCCCGTCTGCGCCACGGCCTCGTCTCCTCTATATATAAACCTGAGAAATTACAGCCCTCCCAGGGCTGTGGTTATCAGAAAGGCTTGGCTGGGAGCTAGGAGAAACAAACGTGGTTTTGGGAGCCTACAGGCTTTTTATATGCAGCCTTCCTCCCGCGATGAGGAGTGCAGACGGCTCCAGCGTGACCGAGGGAGAGGCCAAGCGCTCGGGGAGGACCGTCGGGATGGAGCCACGGGATGACTCTGAACCCAAGTGACCATCACTCTGAGGGCTGATACCAGACAGAGCCTCGGTGCCAGGGTCTCTTGCACCAGCACCTTCAGCCCAGCCCCTCCAGGTGGTCTTGGCTGGGAAGACCCCTCGTTCGCAGCTTGTTTGGGATGCCAGGTGCATTCAATGGGACCTTAATACCTGAATGTGGAAGAGCTACTCCCCTGGGGTTCCCTGGAAGTGGGAGCAGATGAGGCTGTGTGGTGGGATGGGGCAGGTACAGCCAGAAGAACAGAGATTTTCTGCTTGTCCTTCTGTCTTCTGCCATGCTTAAGCTTTTAAGAAGAAACTCATCTGGGATGTGGGCTGGAAGCGCTCTGCACCGCGGCGGGGATGGCGGCAGCGAGCCGTGGAGCTGGCGGCAGGAGGAGGAGGAGGAGGAGGCTGCCCCGAAGATGTCCAAGGACCCCCTTCTCCTTCCCCACGGTGAACGAGGCAGCAGGCGAGGGGGTTTGGCAGGACGAGCTTTATTTGTGGCAACAGCGACCTATATGTGTGCCACGGCTTCCAGGAAGCCCAGCAGCTCCCTGCCGAGGGGCACGAGCAGAGAAAGTGGGGGGGAGGGGGTTGCTGTCCCCTGCGTCCCACCCAGCCCCTCCCGTGCGGTGGCTGCGCGGGGACTCCCAGGGGTGCGGGCATCGAGGGGATGGGGCTTTGCCCCCTTTCCCCCTGCGCCATGCGCCCAGAGCGGGGACATTATGGGAGGAGGATGGGGGGGGGGGGGGGAAGCACCCCGCGGGGCC